GGAGGCTCCTCATTTCTGTCATATGCAAAAAGAAGTAGTTCCTGAATCCATCAAGTGAGTATATAACTAGACAAAACATTTTGCCTATGCAAAAGCCATTTTTGCAGGCTCTGAGTTTCTCCTTGTTGCTTATTTCAATTACATAAGACAAAGGCAACATCAACATTTATAAAGGCACAATTTTAAGATACAATCTAGTTTATGCACGGTATGATCAACACATCAGAACAGATGCTACAGGCACATTTGTACGAAAAGTCTTAACGATATTTCCTAAAGTCCTGAATGATTATATTGTCACTGGCAAAGAGTTCATTTCTGTTTCCAGTGATGTTAGTAAGAACTCTGCCTGAGTAAGTGTGCATATACACATTTCTAGGTAAATTGCACAGGTATGTGTATGTATCATGAGAAGATCCTATCTAATCCATGTTTGGTTCCTGAAGAAAAAATACATTGTAAGTAGCTTTCAATTGCCACCTTTTATTTCCAAGACTGTTATTGTTATAATTTGTGTATTTAAATTTTTTTTTTGGTGATTTCTCCATTCTAAAGCCAGCTAGCACTTCACAAATACAAATCAGCACACCTCAGTGAAATTAAAGTTTTCAAAACTCTGTAATTATTACTGTACCAATTATTTACAACTGCCTATTTATGTTCAAAATAACATTCACATGGAAAGCCAGACATTTCTACTTGCTGCTTTAACAACTGAAAAGAAAGGGAGAAAACTAAGAAGGGAAACTCTTTCTAGATCTTTGTAAGGAGAATTGTTTCTGAAAGTAGGGTATTTTTATTTATAATAGTTACAGACAATTGGCATAGACCACACAAATATTTCTCAAAAAGAGTATATGTAATACAATACTTAAAAGATACCAAGGCTACTACTTCAATTACGTAAGTATTGAATCATCAGCTGCACAATGCTTTTTTTGCAGCATAAACACACATTACTTTATAAGACCATCACATTAAAGCCACCCATGTAAAATTCAAAAAACCTTTCTACCCACAAAGAAAATAATCTGTGGCTGGTAAACAGTACATAAACATTATAGTTTCATATAAATCTTCATCAAAAACTTGGAAAATGTCTAGAACAGGAACTCGTCATATAGCTTATCACTTGTGCCATGTGATAACCTAATCACCTAACAAGATTTACAAAAGGGATTTATGGATCCTCCTGCTGATGTATGGGTGATGTGCATTTATTCATACATGAGAGGCTAGGAATTCCTGTGGTGCTTTGAAAGCAGAACAAATTTATCTTTAATGGCTTGTACACTCATGAGAGGTCCACAAAACGTTCACAATACTTTGAAATACCATATTTTTTGCAATCTCTAATGAAATAAGTGCACAGATCCACACATTATATACTATTCAACCCGTATAAGGAATGATGAAAGTCATCACATGATCTTTCTACTTCATAATAAATAGCAAAAAAAGAGACATAGAAAAAAAAAAGATGGAAAACAACTGCTTTGTTTCACTGTCTACGATGTATTAAGAGACATTTTCATACCAGCATAGTTACAGTTAAACACATGGAGCTGAACATTTTTTAAGCAGGTGCCTAAGCTCAGATCTCTACTGCACATTTGTTCACTTGCCTCCTCCTGATATATAAAAGGTATGGAAGAGTTTTCTATTTTATTTTGCTTATTCACAAGGAAGATCCACTTAACACCTGAAGAACTAGAGAGATCATGAAAAGATTAGCACTCAGGAAGAAAAACCTAAATTACTGAGAGATTTTTTTAGACAGTTGAAAAACCTTTAGTTATTTCACTTTATCTTCTCTTTAGTTCACATCTGCAGAAAACAACTTGGAGGAAAGCACTCTGTTTTAAAAAAGGCACCATTCTGGTTCTTAATTTAAGAGTATGGGACTAAACAGGATCTCCATACCCAGAATTAATACAATCTCCTAATAAAAGTAGCTTTACTGAATACAAGAGTAGCTTGCATTGTAGAAATCCATTCAGTGTGAGTAAACTGTTAAAATATGACCCAGAGAAGCATATTACTTTTTTTTCCTCTGAATGAGTACTTCAGCAAAACAAGGAATTCAACAGTTGCTGCTACTGATATTTCTAACATGAAAAACAAGAAATAAAATATCCAATAACTCAAGCTCACAAGCTTTCATTAGACAGCAGGAAAAAAAAAAAAACCAACACAACTTTGTTTTTTAATATATCACCTTAAAGAAAGGCCACAATAGAAGTAATTTTAAAAATTATTTCTACCTTACATTTAACAAATAAACTATCTTAATTCTTCACAATATGTCTAAGACTGGCTAAGCAAAACTTAACAGATGAAATAAATTACTGTTAGCTGTACCAGACAGCTAAACCATGGTTTCATTTGGTATTAGGGATATTAGTTAATTACTTTCAGGCAGTAGAATGACTTATAAATATGATTAAAGCAAAGTTAGGCATTATTCTCATAGTGCAATAGAACAGTATTTTAAGTATGATAATTGAAGAGCCAGGTCATAAGAGGGTTACAAGATTACAAGGCTTTAAAGTCAGAACTGCTGGAGATATGAATGAAGTTCAATGCATTACAACATCCATTCAAATAGAAGGCTTCTTTGCAAATGGATAAATAAATTGAAATGAAAAGCTTTTATGTTATAGCTCAGTAGTATCTTCCTTAATTAGTGACTGAAAATTGTGAGCCTTAAATCATCAGTTCAGACCATCAACCAAAATCTAGAAACAGCTTTATGATGTTAGGCACTTCATTCAGATATACAGTACAGTACAGATTTGGCCTGGAGGAATATATTTTCTGCTTTCACTTATAAAATTGCCCTTATAAAACTGTGTCTACAAAATAGTGCAACTGACTAAATTTAATTTAATAAATGTCTTGGAGCTATATATCTTTTGGGGTGAAAAAACCCCAAACCTATACAAATATCTTCTCTCAAGATTTTTTTCAAGTGATAGCAATTTTGTAGTCATACTCAAAAAGTATGCTACGATATAAACTTCCTGTCAATTTTAAGTCACAATGCAACTGTCATTAGTAAACAAAAATGAATTTAACAGCGCCAATTTTATTTTATTACACGGGTACATGGTGAAGCTTAATGCAACAAATTTTGTAAAGGTCTTTTTAGGTCTTCATGTGTATGACATTACCATAAATAATAGCTCTTATATAATGTTTTTAGTAGTAGCTTTCAAATGACACAAATAGAGTCAGTTTATACAAATGCAAAATAATACTGGGAATTATTATTCATTTAACTCCCTCACTGTTATGATACAGAAAATGAAAAAGGAAAAAAAAAACCAAACCACCTTCCTCTTTTTCTTCCTTCTATTTCAATTTCCTGTATGAATAAAACCGCCACTAACTGAAATTCCTTTTAATACACTACAATCATGTAGTACATAATTCATTGCAATTTTTGCTCTAATAAAAGCATCTATGTAACAGTGAATAGTGCTTCTAAAAACAGTGAACAACAGCAGAAGAAAAATCATTATAACAACTTGTTAACTTTGTCATAGAAAGTGAGGGGGAACAACCTCCTTGTCTACTGCTACTTTGAGATTATACCCTAATACCAACAGAAGTGGTCAGACACTTCTAAATACACTCATTTGGGTTTTTTTTTTCTTCTGTCAAACCCCACATATTTACAAGTAGTAAAAACCACCCTTGGACAAAATTATTTTTTCTGCTCATACCAACTGCATGCATCTAAAACTTGCAAAACACAGTAAGGTTTATAGCTTTGGGTTCACTGATCAAGATGCCATCTTCACAAACAAAACAGCATTCCCATTTCACCTAATTTCTATTTAAAAACCTGCCTTAGCTTTCACATAAACTGTATTTTCATATCTAAAATACAATGCAGACTCATTTTAAAATTATTTCCTATCTGAAAGTACATCAGTTTCCATATTTCCTTTCACTGAGAACTGAAAACACTCATTACACAATTTTTTTAAATTGCCAGGAAAAAAAGATATCCTTCAAACTACAAATTACTCTATTAAGTAACAATGTCAAAAGACATGTAGACTTCAAGCATGATGCAAAAGGTCACTAGCAGGTCTGCTCTCTTCTACTGAAATTCTACAGAGTAACTTGAAAGACTTGGTGAGTTTAACATAAGGCAGTTAGAGCAGTTTATAATGTTGCTTCCATTTCTTCCTATTCTTAGCGTATTTCAGACACATTCACTCATTATATGCATCTTTGAGCTCCAGACACCTTGGGAGAAATATGCTTTTTTCATAATTAAGCTACATGAACACATCTTTCCTGTGTAAACCTCATGACGTTACAAATCTGGGTTAGTTTGGGATGACCACAAGCACAGCTGAAGTGCTGCACAGTCTAATTCACACAGCAAAACCCAGTTGGTCATCTATCTCTTTCTTCCTACGCATACATATGAGCATGTACATTTGCAAACTCTCAAGTCTGCTAATTTTTTCAGGAATGAATTTGTGGGGGGAGGAAGGTTAGCAAAGGTTTATCATGCAGCACCATGAACACCTGCAATACAATCAGTAGCATCACTTAAGAGTAATCTGGAAGAAACTGTATTCTTCTAAGAGCAAAACCTGAATACAGAAAGAGCCATATCTTTGACTGCTGCTCATTATACAAGCAATTAATTGGTTAAGTCTCTGACTATGCACTATTGCTCAAGGCACAAGGCCCCCATGTTAGACTCTCTAAAATTATTTGTTCAAGAGGTTATGTTAAGAGAAACAACAGGTCAATTTGATTCTACTGTTTCTGTGTAAGAGAAGTTATTTTACTACATATAGCGTCCAGAGAGTTAATTAACCAAATCTTCTTACCACCTGTCTCTTAGAACAAAATGACCACGTAAGGTCTTTAGCAAAGAACAAATCCTGGGGAATTAAGTCTTGGACTCATAATGCACTAGAAATAGAACAGCTTCCGTTCCCACTGCCCATGTTCAATAAATCTGCACTCACCCTCTGCGTGATGCTTTTTCCCTCTTTGACTTGCACTGCCAATCCAAGATCAGACAGTCTGCAATTACCATTATCATCCAGTAGGACATTTTCTGGTTTCATGTCCCGGTACACAATCTTGATGGAATGGAGATGCAGAATCCCACAGGTGATCTGAGCTGAGTAATAGACGACCCTGTTCATTTCCAAACCCCTTTCTCCCACGTTGTAGATGTGATACTTCAGATCCCCTCCATTCATGAGGCTCATGACAAGACACAGATGGGTTTTGCTCTCATAGGCATAAGCTAGCGTGACTATGAAAGGGCTGTTGACCTTCTCCAGGATCTCTTTCTCCAGTAGTGCCATCTTCTCTCCACCTTTTTTTTTCAACCTTTTCTTATCCAGTTTCTTGCAGGCATACATCTTGCCAGTATTTTTCACCTGGATGGCACAAACCTACAGAAGCAAGATGCATGAGGAAAGGCAATGAAGGAATTTGACATATACAGACTGGAATATCAAGGGCAGTAATAGGAAGAAACTGGGGAATCACAGATACCTACTAGTAGCTGCTGATGCTAACTTCTGTGGCAGAGGATATTAGCAGAGAAAATAAGCAAAAACCAAGCATACGACCTGTTCTGTTCCAGACTAGTATATGGTGGACCTTATGCAGAGTTTTTGAGGACACCATTAGTAGACATGTATTAGCAAATAGAATGAACAAGGACCCATTCTCTGACCACGACAATGGTGGCACATACAGCTTGCATCTGCATTGCTAAACTCTCTTCCAGCTCAAAAAAGAGGTAGCCTCATTCACACTGTGTTTTGGGAACAGATCCTGATCTGTGCTATTCCCTAAACTGCACCTAGGAATTATCTGGGAGTGTGAGAGCTAGCACAGGCTGAAATGGTGCCAAGGGCCAGACTAGTAATTAACTATATGGACAGTCATGCAAGCCTGTTCTTGTAAAGAAGCCTGCCTTTTTACTAGCACAGATAGAGAATACAAAAATTTTAGAGTAGCTCCTCACTCCTCATCTGAAGCCTGTATCACAGCATAGATAACAAACCCAGCCTAATTTCTGGGAAACGGACAATCTGAAGGAGCAAGTTTTGCAAAACCTTAGACAATTTCTTAATCCATTGCCAAGTTCCTCTTTGCAAACCCACCTGTTGGTCTTGAAAGGGGAGGGATGAGCCATATCCTTAAAAGTTCTTACCTCTCCAAAGCCACCTTTGCCCAGCACTCGGAACTCATAGAAGTATTTCTCAGTTACCGGCTGCTTCTCAAAAACTTTCCATTGGAGGAATTTGTCATAGAAAGGGCTGGTCTGGAAGTCCTGGAAGGGCTTGCCTTTAAGGAAGAGTTTGGTTTCCTCCTTGGCCAGCTGCATGACATTCTCATAGTCTTTTGCAGTAGCTTCCTGGCATTTGCTGGCCAAGTCAGAGCTCATGAAAGCCAGATAGTTTTTGGAGCCTGCCTTAAGAAAATTTGTGATCATATTCTCCATGGTACTGCTCTTGACATTGTCCTCTGCCAACTCCCAGTTTGACACCTCATCCAGGAAGTCCCTAGCTACCAAATGTTCTGGCACTGTCTCTAAGAAGTCTCTGAAGAATTTCTTGCCAATGGGCTGCTGCTCACAGATGCTGTCATAATCAGCGACAACAGACTCTCTAACCTCTCTGCATTGATCGATCTTGGGCAATGAGAGGCTCTTACGTCTCTTTTGCATCTCCTTGGTGTCTCCATCTCCACTCTTCCTTGCCTGTAGATAGGCTGTGTTGGCAATCAGGTTGTCGAGCCCCCCCATGTCACACATCTTGGCAAGCTCTTGGCGTGACAGAGCCTGGTTGAGACACAACAAGTAACAGGTCCAGGTGCTATACTGTAGCTGCCCTGCACTTCTCCCTGCTAGTGGTGTGTGGGGGCTTCTGAAAAACACCAGAGAGACTAACTGCTTTTGCATTAAATACCTCTCAAGGATTTTCACTAAGTACCTTTAGGTATATGCACCATTTGTGGAAAGTGACTGGTAAGAGGTTTCTCTGTAAGGAGCTTTGAGTTTGCTATGTATAGCTGAGGGATGACATCCTAGGCAAACCTTCTCACTGGCAGCACCAAACACACATTCAGCTGGTGTTTTTCAGAATGGGCCCTGCTAACCTTTAAATGTACCAAGATTCCCTCTACACGCACTGTCTCTGGCTGCTGAGAACATGCAGAGATTCCTGTCTGCAATACATGCACACTCCAAACTCAGTGGCACTCCGGCCACAATTAATAGGACAGCCTCGTACCTCCCTCACTTGACACAGAGCACCAATGCACTAAGAATTACATAAGTAGAGATCTGATTTTATAAAAAGCATTTATCACAAACCTGCCATGCCTGAAACAGTTGGCACAGATGAACATGAGTCATTGAGCTTTACATTATCACACAATTCAGTGCTTTGAGCATCCACGCTTCCAAAACTCGTTATACTCAACAGCAATGACTCTGAGTTCCTCAGACACTTCATGCAAACCCCGATGCCTCATGTGGCTCTGTCTGAGAGACTTACGCGCAGAGGCTAAGACCTGCTGCTAGTCTAAAAATAATGATCCCTATATACAAACCAACATATAGTTCTGACTTCATCTCCTAACCACAGGAAAAGGAAAAACACTTCAAACGACCAGCCAAAATTTGCCAAGACACTTCCATATGTTATTGTAGCCTTGATTTATTTTTCCTGCTAGGATGAGAAGATGGCAACAGCATATGGCTGAGGTGGCATCAACAAAGGGACAAAGCTGATTATAACCAAGTGAAGGCAAATTCTACCTGACTTCACTCACTGCCTGCCTACCAGGAAGTCTGTGCCCCATTTTTTCCTAAAAGAATAAAAACTATGTGTGGCACTTACTAGGCTAAGCCCCCTATTGTTGTGGAATCATGTGGAAGGTATTATGGGAACGGGAAAAGCAGTTCCATGATTCTTCCAGTAGCAATGGGGTCAAGCTGTACTCTTGAGGTCAAGGTCAAGTTTCCTTTTTTCTTTTTTTCACTCTTACAGCAAGTTGAAAAGCTGAATCACAAACACTAAACATTAGGAGTAACAACAGACATCTCTCAGGCTCCCTACAGTAAGTGCTGAGCCCTTGTTGGCTGCTTTTTGTCACTTTACTACTATGTAGTATTTTGTTTTCACATGCTTAATCCTGTCTGCATTGAATCCATTTGACATATAACTCATGCTTATGCTCTACAAAATTACATTAGAGGTGTGAGTGATTTTCTAGCAGTGATTGAGGGGGCCATCCATTGCAAACTGCTACGTGTGCATGAGAACACGGTGTACTCTAAAGCAGAGTATTTGAAAGTCTTGCTTGTACAGCAATCACTAATTCTGCAGGTGAATGCAAGCACAGGGCAGGAGAAGGTTACATAAAGGGCTAAATAACGCAGCCAGCAGCGTAAGCAAAACTGAAAAAAGTCAAAGGAAGAAATGTGGAATTCTGCTGGTGGCTTTCCTGAAAATGGTGCCCACAGCACCATTTTCCTATATCTTGGGTACAGAAAAGCAAGAAAGAAGGTAATAATAGCTTTCATTTCAGATCCTACAATTCAGCAGGGTCTTTTTCACATTTAGCAAGAATGCCATCACAGCCCAAACCTAGAGTAGCAGTACGAATAGCTGATAGTTGGGGACCTAAATGTAAACTCAAGCTTACATCGGCTATTGATATATTCCTGTCTAAGCAAATCAAGAAAATACCTCATGTTTATGGTATCTGCAGAAGACAGACACATTCACAGCTCCAAAAATCATTCTGCTCTGATAATTAGAATCTTTCCCAATTTCTACAGAACATAAACTTTCTCTAAAAGAACATAATTTCATAAAAAGCAGGGTGAAACAATATGATCTTTGGACACATATTCATTACTCCAGTCACTTGTAAGAGAAGACTCTAGCTAGATTTGCTAGATTATCCACATCTGCCCAGCATTTATTAAACAGTGAGAAAAGTAGATCAGCATTAATCTATTAGTTGAAAATGGCTATTTAAGTTAGTGTTACCCATTCATAAAACAGTACGTTTGGGTGAGAAACAAACCTGGTTTATTTTGCATGTACAAGAAGTGAACAAATTCAGAACTAAAAATGGGTACTTATTAAGAACTATGCCAATGGAATATCAGAGTATGATTTGGAACAGAAGAAAATTTCTCTGGTGCAAAGCTCATAGAAAGACTGGGACTTAAGCTAATCTCTAAATCACAGAAAAAAATATGCAGGACTTAAAAATTCAGTACCTTACATTCTAGGTGAACCTCTAATTACAGGTCAACAAGATACTTATAATACACAAATAGATATACACAAATATTAGCTGCTTGATTTCAACATTATCTTTCCTAATACCTCATTTGTGTTAACACCTGTTTGAACCAGCACTTTGGAAAACTTTTCTACAATTATAATTCTCAGCTACTCAGCCACATGAACTGAAAGCAAGGTGGAAATTACTTTGGTACTTCCCACATTCACCTATAAGCCAAAGAAAAATGAAGGAAGAAGTCCTCTGATGGGACTTACGGAATTAAAAGAGGCTAGAGGATGGAGCCTGCAACCAAATTCTGGCACAGAAAATAGCTGGCAGGTAAGATGAAGTTTAACTTCTACAGCTAAAAATCATTTCCATATCCAACCGGACTTTGTTTTGCAATCATTTTAGGAAGAATCCTTTTACACAAACAGAAAAGCTAAGATGAAATACTCCACAACAGCATAAATGCTATAGGTACCTCATTACTACTGTTAACCTATTTTATATTTGTTTTCAATTTTAAGACAGACATCATCTGGGATAAAAAGAACCAATGAGATATCCTCTGTGTCGCTGTTAGAGTGATGGGTTTTTTTGATCTCAGTGTGTAATGAGACAAAACCTATATTTAAAAAATTCAAAACATTTTAAAAACAAGATTACAAGTATTAAACAAAAACACAACTGCATGTATGTTTGATGACACAAAGATTGCCACTGGAACTGCTTTATACAGTGAAGATAAACCTCTCCATATTTAAAATAAACAGAACTAGATAGAAATACACCTGCTGAGAAATGCATTAATCTTAAACATTTGAGATTATAATTTTGAAGTAAACAACAATATGCATATATTATTGCTTCAATTTCACCCAGGTTTATTAACCATTTTATTAAGCCTGAATTTGTTACAGACTCAAAGCAGTAATTCAACCTACTACATACATTAAAAAAAACCCCACAGTATATGTTCAGATTAATAGTAATTACTTTGCATATTTAAGGAAAAGACAAAGTCAGAGGCAAGCACTTAAATATTTGTAAGGAAAAAAATCATGATTCATATTAAAAAGATGATGTATTGAGCATTTCGACAAAAATGAAACAATCCTTTCTCCCACTTCCAAAACACTGTAACCAATAAAATGATGTTAAAGAAATTTCTATTAACTGAATTTTCATGAAACCATAATTTAACATTTTTCCCTAGATTTAATTAGTACCTGCTTTCCTTGGGATCTTTAAATTATCAATTTTGTTTGCTTTCTATATTAGTCAGCAAACCAGAGAGACTAGTCAACTGATATCAAATATGTGCCTCTATACCACAAGTCTCTGGATTAAAAATACATGTGCTCCATGATCTTTAACAGAAATATAAATTAAAAAATTATTGTGGTTAGATTTCAATACAATGGTTGTAGAAATCATGTACAGAATATAATACAGCAACAGACTGAGAGATCCAACAAAACAAAATTTTCTAAAGTCATAAAGAAAACCTAGATTAGAAATGTTTAGTATAGTGTGATGGAAAAAGCACACAGCAAATGCTTTACACACTATTCATTTTAGATTTTAAAAAAACAGAATACTTTCTAAAAACCTCACCAATGGTGTTTTGTATACAATATTACTTAGAAAACAATTTCTTTATCCTGACAGTAAACTATGAAGCATTTCAGACTTACAGGTAAGGTCACCCTTTCAAATTAATTTATCTATACAAGAACATTAAACAAACTATATTTAGGGTATAATCTGCACCACCACATTTCTATGCTCTGATTCAGTTAGCACTCAAATACATTTGTTAATGTAGTGTCTCTCTTTTTTCAGTTGTGGAAATATCTGCAGTAAGACTGACCATTGCCTCCTTGTACAGCAAAGAGTATACAACAAATCCACACTGTTCCTGTAGCAGATAAACTAAATACATCATGCCATGATTGACATGTTCCATTCTTTTCTACAAGCACATGGCATAAGACATACACTATTTCAACAAGTTCAACAGAAAAAAACCTTCCAATGTTTTTATTTGCCTATTCTCTGGACTACCCAGTCCTGCTGGCAGAGGGGACAGCGATTATTCTGTTTCACCCACAAGGACATGCAGCAATTATGGAAGGAATGATTGCATTCTCCCCAAACCACTGAAAGAGAAGAAAGAACATGTTCCAGTCACACTCAGCTGTCCAATCAACACCTACAGCAAGGTCCTCACTATCATTCTCATCTGTTTATAACCACTATAAGCTTTAGACACAAAATGGGTCATCACTGAGATTAGATTATTATGGTCATTTTAATGATAGTCAGTTCTCTGTCATCAATCCTTTTATTTATTTCCAATTACGAAAGAAGAAACACAGATATTCTCACCTTCTTGTATAAAGTGACACAGTTTTGTGACTGTATAAACACATTTATCGGTTCTGCCTGGGAAATAAGTGTAACTGTCTAACTTCACTTTATCTTCCCCAGTACCAAAATATAGCCAAAGCACTATTGACTTACTATCACACAACAGCATATCACCAAATTCTCATCTGAGATGCCGTGTTTGAACTTAAATGTATGATATCAAGGAGGCACTTTTGACACAGTATATAGCCTTAAAATAGGATGTTAGACCAGAAGTTATTCACAGGCTATAATTGTTTCAACACTACAAAAAGGGTTACCTATTGTCCATCTACTCCTGAATACTTAGTTACTTTATTTTTTTCCCTTATTAGTTCACATTTTCCTTACTGGAATACAAGGGTACCAATCAAAGGAGTGTTGTAAATTATGCTTTTTTTTTCCTGACAATCTTAAATGGGACACTTAGCAAGCCAAATAAATATATGGGAACAGGAAATTCCTGTTTTCATTAAAACAATCATCAAAACCAACGGTGGATTAAGTTTGAGACAATATACTTCAAAACAGAAAGAACAAGGGTGTGGAAAAGTTTACCACTGGTTTAAAAGTTGATTTGAAGGTTTGAAGCCAATTCTTTGAGACGATTTTCACTATTTCCGATTTAATATACTGGAATTAAGTTAAGATTTGGTTTTGCATATGTTGGTATGCAATTGAAAGTATGTTTATGTTTAAATAACATTATAGCAAACTCAAGTGATTCCACTTTTTCAAATGAAAAGTGAACAAACAAGCAATTGCCTCCACAATGTCTCCATGAAGACTGGGAAGAATAAAGCTTTCTAACCCAGACAAACGTTTATTTCAGAATAGCAGATTTTTATTAGTATTACCATTGTGTTTTCTGGCATACGTGTCAGAAGAGATACAAGTAGCCTTTTCCTACCCACTTCAAAAGCATACATTATCATCTCCTCAGTTATGCTCAGGGTGAGAGAAACTTAAACCTCTCAGCTGCAAATTTGAAGCTGTTTTATTCTACAGGATGTCTGAAGTGAAAACTAATTTTATTAGTGCTTAAAAATAAAGCACAAAGTATTACTAATGTAAAAAGATGACACAACGTAGAGCGAAACATCAGTTTACTTCTGAGCATTAATAAAATCAGTATTCCCTTCAAACTTTAAAATGCACCCCACTGAGAGAAGCTTCAATTGAAAAACAAGCGAATGAAATCACTACATACCAACACAATCTTCTTGTTTGTTTTCAGCTTGACATCTAAGACAGGCATCTAAAAGTAAACAAGAACAAGAATCAATTTGATTCTCAGGATTCCATCTTAAGAATAGGTTTGTCGGAGGAAAATAAAAACTCTAAAACCAATTTACAAAGGTAAAAATCTGAAGTTTTGATGTCTAGTTCAGTGCTTTAAGATTAAACACCCCTCAATTTTAAAACCATACATATGACAATTAAATATGTATCTGAAAGAGATCAGAAGAACTATAAACTGTCCCACAAGTTTTGTTTATTTTCCATTGCTTTGGTATTTTCATAACTTCTGCTGAAAAAAGCCTTCTCCATTTTGTAGCTGTGCAGATTGGGCCAGCAGATTTGTGCCAAGGCACTCAGGCATATTAAGACCAGAGCAAGCACAAAGCCAAACCTAATTACAGGACTTTGTTTTTCAGATGTCAGCATCTCCTTTTAAGGAAATCATTCACAATTTTGGTTTTTTTAGGCTGTACATTTCTCACCACAACCTCCACCTTCTACTACTTTTTATATAGTAGTTTTCCTTAATAAGTACCTGCATGTAATTTTCACAGGAGTCACAGATACATGCAAACATATTGGTCAATTTGATAATATAAATGAGTAGATAAACATGGAACAGTATCTAATTAAATGTAAACATGGAACAGTATCTAATTAAATGTATTTATCATCTTTATGCACTCCAGTCTGTGGCTGTAGGACTAGATGGCAGGTTCAGGACTCAATAAGATACAGGAGTGACAACTTCCAGGTTTACTGCTGCGCTGCACACACATACAGTGGAAAAATGCCTTTGCTGCTGCTTTGCCCCGACGTGGACTGCCATAGAGAGATGTGCACGTACCACACACATGCATGTACCACACACAATAGAAAGTGTTCAACTATTACGGGAGCAAACACATTTTCATGTTTCAGGTAATAAAAGTGTCCTGCAGGTTGGATCTGGCCTACATATCATTAGTTGAACCATATTTTCCCAGAAGACAGAAACATAACGTGCTACAGGAATTCAGGTATGAGTATTGTTGCTTTCTCTGCCAGATACAGCCAGTACTTCTATTTTAATCTGCCCAGACATTCCTTGTTTTCCTCAGGTAATAAACAACAAAGAGGACAAACTCTGAAATAGTTGCCCTTTCCTCAGATAAAAGTATGGCAGTAAATAAAGCTTCTTGTTGTCTGTTTCTGTAATTTATATTTCCACAGCATTTAAGGGCCAAGCTGCAAGGAAGATTCAGCCAAACTGCTTCATCTTGTATCATGGTACATCGAAGCAAACTGGTCTGGGGTCACCTCAATATTCAGGGCAGTAAGCTGTGGCAGACTCATAGTCGCTATAAAAGCGGTTTTCCTATCCTAGCCCTAGATTTGGAGTTTCAGACAGAGAAGCAGCACAGAGAGCCAAGGAGAGAAATCACTGCAACCATACCAAAGGTAAGCTGTCCCCACTCCTGCATCATAACCCTAAGGGTGTCAGTCTGTGAATGGTTAAGCAAATCTAAGTCAGTGGTGCTGCAATCCTGCCCTTCCCAGCTAACACCTTTTTTTCTTCTTTCCCTTGTGCTTCTGTGATCCTTGAAGACCACATTGGTTCAAGGAGTTAAACCAGCAGAAAATTAAGACAGCTAACACTTCCCTCCCTTGCAAAAAAAATCAAGCTAATTTTCAACAAGTGCCAGCTTAAGTCTGGCACTGCCTCCAACCTAAGGTTACTGCAGACACAGTGGCTCTACAGGAGCCAGACCGGGTCTGGCAAGGTCAGCATGAAATTGCTAAACTGAAGTCAGTAAATGATCAAGTTTCACATTCTAACAGTGTGGTTTGTTCTCAAAAAATGGTTACCAGATTTTTCTGCTGGTTTCAGATAAAAAGTACTCCCTTGGTCTAGTTATGAAAAATAATTTTTTTAAAAACTTTTATAAAAGCTCTGGGTAAGATTTTGTTAATTTAAGACTTTTTTTAAAGTGCCCTGTAACAGGCTAGCTAGAACAGGGAAATACATTCTTTAAAATTATGGCAGATGAAGCCAATTTCATGTTTCCAGGGTTGTCTCGGTTCATATAAAGGCAAACAATCTTCAAAATATGCTTATGCAAAAGTTGAATCTCCCATCACTTTGGTCTGGGCTGCATCTTTCTTCTTCTGTACATCTTTATGCCTTTTCTGTTCCACAGAACGTTGTCAGTAAAAACATGTAGGAGAAATGACAGCATTGCGTATTTTGTCTCATTTCTGATTAGATTTGCAGCATCGTGCTTCCTGGACCTACAAAAGCAAGGTGCTCTGGAGAGAATCCTGGGTCATTTGTCCTGCCAAACTGTACCAAGCCGAACTGAGAGGACAGTTGTGCCTAGGATGACTCAGCACAATGGTAAAAATTGGATATAGAGTAGAACAATTTAAAGAATTTTCAAAGATCCAAGATAAACATCGTATTTGTAAAAGATGTCACGAAACAGTAATACCAGTCAACAATGAGGCTGTTTTCAAAGAGATTCTCCAGATTTCAAAACCAGACAAACTAACGCCCTACTTTTCAATGGATTTTTTGGTACATTCACATGTACTAAACTGCACTAGTGATTAGGAGACTTGGGTATAAGTGTTAGAGACTCTGGATTAACAGATTTGAAAAATTAATTTATATCTACATCCACAACTGCTTCTTCAAAAAACCCACCAAAAATACTAACAGCAGCACCACACATCTAGTACTATGGTCAGCTCGGCTGTAACTCAGCACTGGTGAAGTTTGCCAATAGACAAGGAACAGACCCCACGAAGGCGGCACCTTTACAAAGAACAGCGACGGTGGGACAGCAGCCTGCCTCCGGGCCCTCAGCCCGCTTGACAAGCACCGCCTCCCATGCTGACAGACGCAGGGCAGAGGCCCAGCAGGCGCTCCGGCCTCCTCCTCAGGAGGGCGGCCAGGGGAGCGGGGCCCGGCGGGGCAGGGGGAGATGCTCCCCCGACAGGCG